GAGTGTACGAACCCCCAGATCTTACTTTTATGAGTAAGTTTTCATTCAGACTTATTCAATAACATTTTAAATACCCAGTCATACAAGTAATATTAAGAATAAAAATTATTTTAGAAAAAATTTACTGTTTGGCATATGCAATTAATATATGTACACATTATTCTTCTATTACATATTGATATTCATATTTAACAGTTTAAATTATTTTATCAGAGAGAAAAATTTCAACAAACACACACACACACACACACACACACACGCAGAGTTAGGGATTTTTGTGGTCGCTGCTTCGTCCTACGGAGCGTCTTTCACAGATGCTATATTGCTATATTTTTTATTAACCACCATTGAATCTTTTCCTGAAACAGTCAGAGGAAAGCCTCAGTGCTTCATGAGGCTTCATTTGCCTATCACTACATGGGCATTTATATCTGTGCTGTGGTGCATCATGGGATGTGGGAGAAACCAAACTAGAGGATTAAGTGGATTTTTGTTGTTTTCAAATTTAATTAGTGGAACTATGCATAAATGGCTGTTAAGTAATAATTTGTGGATTAATGCATGTACAAAGTTTATAATCTTGAGATTTGGTTTGATGAATGTAATTCCTTGTCGCTTGCATCCCCGTCAATGGTTGTGTCCATGAGTATAAATGCTCACAAACTGAAATTTCACAGGATCAATGTAAGATGGAGGTTGGAGAATGAGTAACCTGCTGGAGATTGAAATCATTGTGAATGAGAATATTTTTAATGTTGTTTTTTTTAACTTGTACTTTATTCTTGTAATTATTTACCTTGCTTGTATAGTTATGATTTTAACGGTACTGAAACATCTAATCCAGGGGTGGCCAATGTTTAATCCTGGAGAGCCACAGTCCTGCAGAGTTCAGATCCAACCCTAATCAAACACACCTGAACCAGCTAATCAAGGTCTGAGGGTGTCTAGAAAGCTTCAGGTGAGTTTTTGTCTGCATGTACAGTTTAAATGTGTGAGTGACCTGGATGTTAAGAGCTGCATCAAGAGAAACAGAGGCGAGTATTCAGTGTGTATTGTGAATGTATATTTCCATTAATGTGTCTCTTTAGTTTTTTTTTCTTTTTTTCCTTTTCAGGTAAGACTCAATGCTGGCACGTTCTGAAGGAACTTCATTCTTTTTTTTTCCAGAAACAATCTGTGAGCTTGATTAATAGTTAATTGCAATTTCAAATGCTTTGTTGTTGCTAGAAATGGGCGAGTAACATTCAGAAATTCACCCACATAAATCTTGAGTAGGTTTATTTGTATAATAATTTGGTTCTTAGCAGTGCTGAATCATAATGGTTTAAATTGTGGATGCAGACCAAGTCTTATAGGATTGTTAAAATCGTGCAGTGTGTAGAATGCTTTAGTATAGATAGTTTTGTTTGATCAAAGCTTGTCTCTGAGAAGCAAAACAGGGAGTCCGTGACCTGCAGGAGTCGATCCGCTGTGGCATGAGCTCAAATCAGACAGACAGTGTGCACCCCGATCTCAGTACAGTTACAGGATGGTTGGTCATAGGGACTCTGGATAAAACCTTATCAAGCGGTTCAAATGTTTGAGTAGTATGTACCAGTGTTGTGAAGCGCCTTTTGAAATTTTAGTGTCCCTTTACATTATCATGAAGGTGTTGCGTGTTTTTAAAAATTTTTTATTTGATCACTTGACTACTTTTGGTAGTAATGCAGGAGCCTCCATCCTCGTGTGCAGACCTGACTCATGAAGGTAGGCAAGTGCAATAAGGCACTTTCTGCAACCTTTTTATTAATATTTTTTTCAATTCTATACTCGTATGGATTTTCTGTGGCCTCCACTCTTATAGTGGTTTGGCACCTCCATAGTCCCAGAGCTGAAGCTGCTGTCTGCTCCTCTTTGGCTGGACTGAGACCTTGATTCTACCAGAGGACATCACTTTCTTCCAGACCACTCACTAAACGAGTATGTTTGCTTTCTGTAACATCTTGAAATATATTTTTCTGTTTAAACAACTCCTTTTGTATTACAGATCCATTTTAACCTCACGTGTACTTTTCCTCCAGTTAGCTCAGATCTTTGAGTTGGATGTGTTATCCTTTACATGGAGTTCTTCGGTATTTACCTGAATAAGCCTCATGTCATCAACTTTTCTTTCCTCATTTGCACTTGGCCTTTGGAAATGTGGAGAATATTGGTTCAGTTTCTTATGCCATTTAAAGAGCCGTATTCAACCAGACACGGATGCACTTCTCACACCATGAACAGGTTTGCTTCTCTTAAATGCCTAGAAATTTGCTCTATGCATCTCATTGGAGTTTGATTTGGTTCACATTTAACCCTAATGTCTCATACTGTCTTCCAGCTGAGCTGGGCGGCTTCTTAGATGAGTTGGATGTGCTCCTGTCCAGTTTCTGAATGGCAGCTTGCTTGTATTCTTTGAGACTGATGTAGGTGAGTCCTGCAGTTGTCTTTCTCCAAAATTAAGCTCTATTAGGCTTGTTTGGTCTTTCAACTCCTGAAATATTGAGGTTTCTTCTATAAATTTCTAACTGATCAAATTAGACTCCTTAATTTGTGTATATTATCTTTAATGGTTTTAGCCATGTTCTCCAGCAAAGCTGTTGTGGATTCAATTCATCTTTATCAGCCAGTGTTAGGTTTACGGTTTAATGTGGAGCAGAACCGACAGACCGGTGCAGATACAAAACCACAAGCTTAAATGTCAGAGACAGGGGTGCCCCCCGAACACAGAGCTGAGACAAATTAGGTGGAGAGATGTCTTAATGTGCACACTAAAGCTGTAGGGATGGCTCATCCTTGGTGCATTAACTTAAGTCAAAACTAACCGGTTTCTTCTGTTCTTATCAGTGCACTGTATTTAAAGTATTCTTAACCATTTTAATTAATTTTAAATCAATTTTTAAATCACTTCAAAGTTTTAATTTCTTGCTTTTATGAGTATTTGATTATTTTAATTCCTTTTTGTGAAGCGCATTTTTCTTAAAATTTAAATTACCATTGTGCATGAAGTGAACTATATGAATGAACTTGCCTTGCCTCCAGTGTGGACGTATGTGTTGTAGTTTGCATGGTTTGTGCCCATTTGTATTTAATTATGCATTTATTTCCTTTTTCATTTCAGTTTTCTTTTTTCCTGTTTTGTATTGTGTACTTGTGCACTCTGTGTTTGTGTACTTTTTTTCTTTTGTATTCATTTAAAAAAAAAAATTCTATTGCATTTGTTGTTACATAGTGCATATCTATGCTTTTTGTGCATTCAGTGTTAATTGGGGTTTCAATTTAATGTTGTTGTGCGTGTGTCTATTTTTGCTGTTATATAGCCTTTGAGCTTGGTTTATACTACTTTTGATTTGCATATTTCTATTTTTTTTGTTTTGCACATCTCTCACCTTTTGTTTTATGGCTGTCTGGCAGTTTGTATGCTGACATCTGTAGCCGCAGTTAATTCAGCTTGGACTTGACAAAGTCTTCCCCCAGTTTGTTCTTTCAGATCTCTCACCAAGAACGTGACAAATCTCCTTACGTCAGCTTTGACTTGACTTCCAGGTCTTCCAGGTCTACTCTGCAGCTTGTAGTGTGATGTGCAGCTGTCCTGTTCTTTTATGGGAGCACACTTGTCTTTAACTTTAGTGCTCATCTAGATGAGTGTCACTCTTATGATTTTCAAGCTAATGCTATGTGTACATCTAGTGCAGGGAGTGTTGTAAGCTCTGTAGTTTAAGACATGTTGATTTTAAGGCTCTCTTGTTGTGGTCATAGTATCTGCCCATCTATAAGCACTGCCTTTGCTTTCAGGTCTGCTGGTGATCCTTATGCTCTGTTCTATGGGTCCTCTAAGGTCTGTCCACTCAGCTGGTCCGCCAGGGCCCTTTATCAACTGGCATGCTAAGATGTTGCAGATCTGTTGGCTCCCCAGATGCTCGTCATATCGCTGTAACTCCTAATTCCTCCTTGCTGCTCTCTCTCTGGAAGGCTGGAGCCTCCAGCTTGGAATTTCCTCTAGGCCTACTGACTTGACATTGGCTCACAACTGTCAAATCGAACGTGGTGCTTTACTTTTTCTCCCTTGGGGTCATTCTACCAGTGGTTCCTGGAGTTTATAGTGTTCCACACAGTGCAGCCCGTCCTTCTATTTGTTTCAATGCACCATGTGCAAACTTTGCAGAGTCTGTTTATC